CTGTCTGTCTGTCTGTCTGCGTCGTGTTTTGGCAGCCCTGCCCGCCCCCACTCGGTGTGGCCCACGCTGGCCTCCAGCTGAAAACGTGTTCTTGAGGATGTAGCCTGGGGAGGGGCCTGGTGGTGCGGCACCCAGATGAGTTTTTGGTGGACAAGTGTCCTTTTCGTGCTTGTTTTTGGAAGGGACCGATTCTCCGAGGAGGAGTGGGGTTGAGGGTTGAGGCCATTCGTCTTAGCCCCTGGGCTCACCTGCCCCAGTCTGGCCGCTGCCCCTCTGGCCGTCTGTCCTTCCTGCCTGCGGGCCTGCGGAGTCCTTTACCTCCCACGGGGAGCCGCCAGTCAGGGAGGAGAAACGTCAGTCATTCCCTCCTTCCCGGCAGCCTCCGCCTCGCCCCCTCCCCCCCACCCGCTTGGCTTTGGGAGGCAGCGGGGCGGGCGCCTCTCCCACTGCTGGTCCCGGGCCGCCTCTGCACCAGGCTCCGGGACACCAGTCCCCCGTGCTGAACTTTTCATCTTGGTTATGGCAGTTCCGCTATGTTGGAAGTTTTCCTGGACAGTTCTGCTGTCTGGTCCGGCCCTCCTTGCTCTTTCGCCCCCTGGCCTGTGATCTGGGACAGACGGAATCGGGGCGTGTGCAGGGCCCGGCCTGCGCCTGGGGGTTAAGGGCCGCGGCCGCCTCAGCCCTGCTCAAGGGCCAGGTCTGCCCGGGTACGCTCCCGTTTTCTCAGAAACGGCTCCTCTTCCTGTAAGCGGTGAATTTTGTGGGATTCTTCACACGCCTTCCAGATGCAGGTCCAGGTCCCTCGGGGCCTGGAGGAAGGTGCTCCGTGTCATTTACATCCAAAGCAGACACATCGCCGCCCCCCCCCCCGCCCCCAGCCCTGAGATAGGAATCTGTTGTGCGAATCTTGGGCTGTGTGCTCTGGGGATTCCCAGCTTTGCTCTGACTGGGGTCCCTCCCGCTCCCAGCAGGCCCGGGTGTGGCCCTTCAGGGTTACTGCTGCACGGGGGGAGGGCGGACGTGTCTCACTCCTGGTGGGGGTCTCCTGCCCCCACATGCCGCCCGGGCCTGCGAGTGCCCCGGCCCCCCTGGCTGGCAGACTCAGGAGGGAGCTCCCGGGGCGTCCCCACCACGGAGACAGGCCATTCCTTGCACCTTTGCTGGTGCTGTGTTGCTTTTCATATTTTATGCCCCTGGTTTGGCGGTTTTCCCCAGAGGGATCGGTCTGCGTGGAGGGGCACCGGTTCCTGGGCACACTGTGCCCCCTGGTGCCGCCCCCTCAGGGAGCCCCTACTGGCCAGGGGCTCTGGCCGCTGCCCACACCCCTCGGGCACCCGTGGGCTGGCCACTGGCAGGCGCTGCTCCACTCACACGCGGAAGCATGTCCAGCCCAGTCCCGTTCTTTGCAGGGAGCCGGCCTGGCCTTGACCTCCCCAACCCCATGGGGGATCCTGTGCAGCCCTGGGGTGCACTGGTGGGCAAAGAGCTGCTCCCCAGGCTGCTGGGCCTGCTCACCCCCAAACTCGGCCTCCCACCCTGCGCCCGGCCCCAGCCCCAGCCAGCTGCCTGCAAGCCTCCGTGCGCCTGCAGGCCCAGGGTGTCCCGGGGGCCTGGCTGGGAGGGCCGCTTCCCGCTTCCCTGTTGGGGCTCAGCGTGTGCTCCGGGCTCCAGGAAGCAGTGGGCTGCTTTGCATAGGCACCACCGGGAGGAGTGACTCAGCCCTGCCTGCGGAAAGAGTAGCCTGCCAGGTGCGGTGTCCCGCCCGCCTGCTGTGCCCCCGAGGCACCCTGCCTGGGTTCCCGTTCTCCCCACCCTCCCTATCCCCCATGGGGCCTTGAGCGGCCTGAAGGGAGGGGGATCAAGGCCAGCGCTCAGGGGGGCCAGAGACCTGGGGAGGAGGAGCCAGGGCAGCCCGTGGTCGCAGGGCCAATGCCCCGGGGTTCCTCAGAGTGTCCCAGGCCCCAGCTGTCTGCTGGCCTCACCTGCCCTGGTGTCTGAGGGGCTGTGTGAACCCCCTCGAGAAACAGCAGCTCATCTGCCTTCAAGGAGTGGGGGTGGGGGCCTCACAGGAGCCCGTCACAGCCTCTGCCACGCTGCCCATCTGCACCGCTGCCGCCCACAGCCCTCACCCAGCCAGGTCCTGGACAGGCCGGCACAGAGCTCAGCCGGCCACAGGGTGGGTGGTGGCCCCAGCTGCCGGGCCCCCCAACCACCAGTGGGACCATCAGCCTGCGCTGAGCCCCTGGCCCTGACGCTCTGGGCTGGGCCACACCGGGCGGAAGGAGCAGGGTCTTCCTGGGCATGTCCAGTCTTGAGGAGGGCCGGGGGGTCCAGGGCCGAAGGAAGAGCTGGAGAAAGAGGCCCCTTTTTGGGCACCAGTGGGAGGGTCCTCTGCCCTGGCCTCCTGAACACACGCTGAGGGACAGCCCCGGGGCCCTGCTCCTGAGGGAGAGGCACCTGGGCCGGCTGTGGCGGGTGGTTCACGGTGGTGACCCCGTCTGCCTCCCTGCTGCCCCAGCCCCCTGCCCCACCTGGTTGGGACTGTCCACTGCCTTGGGCAGGAGGACAGAGGGGCAGGGCAAGGAGGACGTCCTCAAACCCACCGCCTTCACCCCAGAGACCTGAGGCCCCTGGGACCCTCCCCTTGACTTGAGTGGAGGCTGGGTTTTCCGAGGGCCGGGGTCATTGCGAGGCTCGGAGGGCTTGGGAGCCAGCGGGGACTGGACTTCAGCCAGGTCCTTGCAGGGGATGAGAGTGGCCCTGGAGGCGGGTGGGTGGGAGGCAGGTGTCCTGGCAGGACTGGGGTGGTGGGCGTGGCCTCAAGGACCGAGCGGCAGAGTCTGGGGCCGGTGCTGGGCGTCAGGGCGTGGGGTCTGGGCAGGTGGGCGAGGGCTCAGGGCCTCTCTGTCTCCCCAAGGGCTGCGGAGGGGCCCACCCGCGCCGCGTCTAGTGTGCCCGGGCTGCTGCTGTCCGTCCAGCCCCGCCGGCGAGGCTGCTCCTGCACCACTGCCAGGTGCCGCCTCCTCGCTGCCCGTGGACCTCGGGACCCAGGACCTGCAGCCTCCAGCCGCGGCTCGTCTCTTTGGAAACCTACACACAGATGAGGAAGCTTGTATACAGAGCTATTTTAGCGAAATCCTGCCGTCCTAACCGTGCCGTTTCTTATGGAGTCGCTACCCAGCCCACTGCCTGCACCCACAACCTGCGCCCCACACTTGGTTTACTTTAGAGACATGGAGAAGGGGGGGGGAAACATCCGTGTGTGGTTGCTTCTCATGCACCTGCACTGGGGACCTGGCCCACAGCCCAGGCACGTGCCCTGACTGGGAATCGAACTGGTGACCCTTTGGTTCTCAGGCAGGCACTCAATCCACTGAGCCACGCCAGCCAGTTCTGCTCACTCTTCTGTTCAACAAAAGTCTTGCTCTGCTGGTCCAGGCTCTTCGTGCCCCTACGTCTCCTTCCAACCTGGCGCTGAGCAAGGGGCTCACCCTCAGATGCCACTGCAGCCGGCTTCTGTGTCCTCAGCTGTCACAGGCGGTGCAGGCTAGGGAGACCTGGCGGGGGAGCCCCTGCAGACTGCCCGGGCTCAGGGTGGGCTGTTCAGCCCCCCGAGCCTACACAGGATGGGAGTTTCTGAGGGGTGTCGGGGACAGTTCTTTGTGGACATTGGGAGGGCCTGGAGCCCCCAGGCCTCAGAGACAAGTCAGGGTCCCCGCCAGGCTTTGCCCCCTGAAAGCCATGCTGTTGGTCCCCCAGGCCCCTGCTGGTCACCCCTTGGTTCCGTGATGCCACATTCCAGGAGTGGGCAAGTCGCCTGGCAGGGTGGCCACGGAGCAGGCCCACTGGGGTGCCTCTCGGGCCCCCGGGCAGCCTCACTCGGGGGAGAAGGTGCCCAGTAGTCACCCAGTGTCACCCAGTGTAGCAGTGACCGCACCACCCACATGGAGCCCCCATCGCCCCACCCCCACACCACGACCACAGGTGAACACGCAGGGGCCGCAGACCAGGCAGCTGCGGGGTTTAGGGACACTGGTCAGGGGGAGGAAGGCTGGGTGGTGGCTGAGGCATCAGGGTGCAGACCGTGGCCCTGGGTGTCATCTGCCACAGGCCCCGTCCCCTGCGGGGGACACTCCATGAAGTGCTCCATCTGCACTGAGGGCCACCCCAGGGACCCGCCTGCTGGGTGCCCGGCCCGGGGATGGTGCCACTCTGGGTCTGCTCCCCGCCACCTGTGGGCGGCCCCACTAGGGCTCCAGGCAGGTCCCCAGCTTCCCGGGGCCCAGCACCCCTGGGGGTGCCCCAGCTCCACACCCCTTCACACGTCCCCCCACTCATGGGACAGTGCCTGCCGGGGGGAGGAGGAGACTAGGGCTCCAGAGCACGTCTGGGGTCTCTGCTTCCCAAGGTGCTGTGAGCGTCTGTCTGGGAACTTCTCTGGAGCCCCAGGAAGGTTCCCGAGCAGAAGCCGGGCCCAGGCATCGCAGGCCACGGGGCCCTGTCCTCTGGGGCAAAGGACAGCAGCCAAAGGGCTCGGCAGAGGCGTGCAGAGGAGACAGATGGGGGCACCCGAGATTTGGGGTACAGTCTCAGGTGCCAGTCCAGAAGAGCACTGTCCCATGGGACCGGGGGCCGGAGGAGGCACGTGGGGAGCAGGTGCCCCGCGCTGCTCACGCCGCAGAGCTGCCCACCGGGGTTGGCCACTCCCGTCCCCTGCCATCAGCAGGGGTGCCCGAGAAATGGGGGCGTGGGGCCAGCTTCCTGGTCCCTCAGCCCTGCAGGGAGCCCTGCTCCAGCCTCCAGCCGTGTGGAGACCCCAGTTACCTGGGGCCTCGGTGACTCAAGGTTCAGGAGTGTCTGGCAGCTGAGAAAGCCCACGGGCGTCTGGCCAGAGTCCGCAGGCCATCAGCGCGAGCTGGGACAGGCGGGAAGCCGTGGGGCTGTGGTTCCGGCCGGCCCACTTGGGCTCCATTCCACCGGGAGCCACTGGGGAAGGAGGCTCCTGTTTGCTGCCAGGCGTCTGGGGAGGCGGCGGCAGCTGCCAAGGAGGGCCCTGCAGGCTCCCTGCCCCTGCGTGCGCGGGGTCACCGCTGCCATGCTGGCCGGGTGGGCTGTGGCTCTCCTGTCCCTGACCTGGAGCGCCCACCAGAGCCTGGCCGTCCCCCGCATCGCAGAGTGTGGCCTCTCCTGCTCCCAGGTGAGCCCCTGCCCCTCCTGATGGGGCCCCAGTGCCTGCACAGGCGGGTGCTGGCCCAGCACCGTGAGCACACAACTAAGAGTGGCAGGTGGGGGTGCGGGAGCCCCAGGGGGGCTGGAGGCCTCGCATCCCTGCGAGGTGCCCGGCCTGCCCCTGAGGCACCGCTCTGGGAGGCGTTGGCTGCCGCACCCTGTGACCCACCTCTGAGGGGACGGGTCAGGCGGCCCGGAGCCTCGCCGCCGCCTCGCCCAGGGCCCTGGCTCCGGAGGGGTCGGGCCCGTGTGGACACCGGTGAGGACGTGCTCTGGTAACACGTTCATCCTGGTGCGGGAAGGCCCGCCAGGCAAGGACACGGGTCAGAAGTGGTGGCGTCCTGGGGCTTTTTGGGGCCAAGCAGGTGACTCGGCCTCACCCAAGGGAGGGTCTCGCCAGCACCTGCTGTGAGGCGTCCCAGGGAGCGCTCGCAACGCCAGGCCGCCTGCGGCACAGCAGACACGGCCGGCGGCGGGGGTCACGGTCCTGACCAAGCTCCTGCCGTTTGTGCCGCTCAGGTGTGGACCTCGGGGAGCCAGCCGCTGCCCTGCCCTCGGGGACGGGTGTTCCAGTTGGAAAAATGCACAGCAAACCTCGACCGAGGGGTGGCGATGGCCAAGGAGGCAGAGAGCCCAGGGCAGACGGGCTGGGGGGGGGGCTCCCGAGTGCCTCTCAGCGGTGGCTGGGACCCCTGGGAAACCGGGTCCCCTACAGGAGGAAGGCAGGTCTGAGGGGCCTGGGAGCGTGTCCAGCAGAGGGCCCAGGACCTCAGTGAGAAATGGGCTCACGGAGGCTGAGCAAGGGCAAGGCAAGCACAGGTCGAGGGTCAGGCAGGGCTGCAGAGGCTGGGGGCCAGGCTCAGGGCTGGGGTGCAGCGACCCTGGGGCCAGAGGAGGGGCTCCCCGGGGGAAGGGGCGGCGGCAGGAGGGCGGGGAAAGTGCCGGGTGGCCTGGAGCCTCGGGGCTGATGGAGGAGCCGTCCGGAGGTGGGGCTGGCCAGCGCTCAGGGAGGGGCAAACCTGGGTTTGGAGACGTGGGGTCTGAGACCCACCCAACGAGGACGGGCCTCCGGATGGAGGTCGGGGCAAGGCCACCCCACTCGGGGAAGGGGCTGCTGCTCAGACTGCATTGAAGCCCCCCCACCCCAGGCTGTGAGGAGGAGGATGAATCCTAGAAGAAAAGGGGGGCCAGAGGGGGATGGGAGGCCACTGGGAGGAGGCGAGGGGCTCCCTGTCCACAGGTGGCCTGGTCACTGGGCTGAGCTGGTGGGCCGAGGGGCAGAAGGGTGCCGGACGCTGGGCAGGCAGCTTGCCACTGAGGGGGACACGATGCAGGGACAGAAGCTAGAGGAGGGGCAGCGGAGGCCTCGGTCCAGCCTGGTCGCGGGACAGCCGTTCTGGGCCCAGCCCCCCTTCGGCGAACACAGGTCCTCCTCCAGACCTGGCAGTCAGGGCCGGGGGCAAGGACAGACGTCAGGGACGGGTGCCTATAGGGTGAGCAGGGAGGGCAGGGGCCTTGGGCTGCAAGGGGCCACCAGGGGCCTGCCTGCCCCCCGGCTCCACTGGTGCCATCCTGCAGCCAAGACCAGGGTGCTGGGTCCCCTCTCCCTCCAGCTGGAGGGACCCCAGGCCCCGCCTCAGAGACTGGGCCCCAGGGGTCCCCCACACAGACGGGCCCCTCCCCTTCGTGGGCCGGGAAGCCCCGGGAAGCCCAACGGAAACAGCGAGTTCTGCATTCCCGCCCCGCCCGTCAGGGCCCAGGGCTCGGGGCCCACCCTCTCCCCCTCCCCCAGATGCCAGGGCTTCCGGGCAGCACAGCCCACAGGTGCTCTCTGGCCTCAATTTTGCCCAAGCTGGTCCCTCGTCCTGTGCCCCCAAGGGCACTAAAGTCAGCTGCCAGGCCGCAGCCACCTGCCCTCCCGGGCCCTGCTCAGTCACATTGTGAAGGGGGCAGCCGGGTAGGCTCCCACCCGGGGACCGGCTCTGCCCATGGCCTGTGGGAGCGGCCACGGGACCAAGGCGGCGGGTCCGGTCTGTGGTCCTCCGACTGCAGCAGGAGACGGAGGGACACGCAGCCTGTCCCCAGGGAGACGTCGTGTGGGTCGGAGAACAGGACGGTGGCTGTGGGTGGGAATCAACAGCCGGGGAGACGCCCCGGTAACTAACGCTCTCCCGGAGCCAGAGCTGTTTAGAAGGGGACACGGTGGGGGGGACCAGCAGGGACCCCGCTCCCCAGACCCAAGGAGCCGAAGCAGACCCCGCCCTTCCTCCTCTGCCACCAGCAACGGGGCCTCCACCCTGAGCTGCCCAGACGCCTGGGGTCCCCAGAGGCTCAGCCCCCCAAGGAAGGGCAGAGGCCACCACTGCTGTCACCGCACCTTCTGACCACACCTGCCCTGCTGCCTGGGCCCGGAGCCTGGGACAGCGGGGCCTGGAGGTCGCAGGTGGCATCACACCGTTTACTGAGTGACCCTGTGGGCGTTGGGCTGGGCTTTCACGGGCCAGTGTCCCCAAATATAGAGGACAAGGAACCAGGGCTGAGACACCCCACGCCCCCAGCGGAGCTCGGGCCGAGGGACACACCGGCTTAGCTCGGCGGAAGGTAGGGCTGACCCTTCGCCCCTCTGTTTTGTCTGCAGGGCTTCACCTGCAGGAGCCGCGGCAACTGTGAGTGCATTGTGGGGGGAGGGGACGAGCCGTCCTGGGGGGGCGGCAGGCCTGCCCACAGCCGGGGCCTCCTCCCGGCCCCCAGCCTGCATCGTGGGGGGGCCGCCGGGTGGGAGGTGGCGCGTGCCACGCTGCTTCACATCCGCCTGCGTCTGCTGGCCTCGTCCCGTGGAAACCACACTTCCTCCTCTCCGTCTCCGGGGGGAGACGGCAGCCCACTTAAAATAGCTGTGCTGTCTTGGCAGACACGGCGCATGTTTACTAAAAGGAACATATATGACGTGGAACATGTAGGGGGAAGTTAAAATAAATCCCACTCCAAAGCCCCTGCGTGGAAAAATAATACCATTTACATTAGGGAAACATTGTTTAGACATTTTTGTAGGCAAATATAACAGGAGAGCAGATAAGAATATTTTATAAAAATAAAATTACTTTATGCCATTTGAAATAAGCACTTTCTTTAATTGTCCTGGAATTTAACAGGAAACAATAAACTATAGAGATGGACAGTGTGATCCCTGTGTGCAGGGTGGTGTCACCTGCCCACCTCGGCAGTGTCACCTCTTCCGTCTGCACGGCTTCCGCTCCCTCTTGTCTGAGTGCCGCGCCGGGACCTCCGGTGCTGTGCTGAGCGAGCGTGAGTCCGCCGGAAGACCGCTGGGACGGGCACGCGAATTCCGTGACGCAGCGGATGCGAGATCAATACTCAGACATCGGTCACATTTTTATGTGCCAGTAATGAACCGTCGGAAAGAGGAACTAAGAAAACCACCCCACTCACAATTGTATCAAGAAAGTGAAACATCTAGGGCTGAATTTAACTGAGGATGTAAAAGAGCTGCCCTCACAAAGCTGTCAGACACCGAAGAAAAAACCGAAGAAGATACAAGTGAGTGGAAGCACATACCACGTTCATGGACAGGAAGGGTTAACACCATTAAAATGTCCGTACCACCCTAAACAAGCTACAGATTCAATGCAATTCCAATTAGATTCCAACGTCGTATTTCGCAGAACTAGAACAAATATTTCAAAAATTTATATGGAAGCACAAAAGGCCATAGCAATCGTGAAATAAACAAAGTTGGAGGAATCCGCCACCTGATAATCAAACTGTGCTTACAGGGCTGGAGTAACAGACGCAGAGGTCAGCGGAACAGAATCGAGAGCCCAGAAAAGCATCCACGCCTTTGTAGACAGTTAATATTTGACGGAGGAGGCAAAAACGTACAACAGACTAGAGACAGTCTATTCAATAAACGGTGTTGGGAAAACTGGATACATGCAGAAAAATGAAATTAGACAGCTATGTTACACCATACACAAGAATAAACTCACAAAGGGTTAAAGACTTAAACATAGGACTCAAAACCATAAAAATCTTAGAGGAAAATAGGCAGTAAAGTCTCAGACATTTCTCGTTGCAATATCTTTTCTGATGCGTTGCCCCAGGCAAGGAAAACCAAAGAAAAATAAACCAACGGGACTGCACCAAAGTAAACAGTTTTTGCACAGCCAAGGAAACCATGAACAAAGTGAAAAGACAGCCCACGGAATGGGAGAACGTACAACGATTCATCTGATAAGGGGTTAAGATTTAAAATTTATAAAGAACTTAGGAAACTCAACAGCAAAAAAAAAAAAACAATTCAATTTAAAAAATGGGCAAAAGGAACTGAATAGACTTCTGCAACAGGACAGACAGACAGCCAATAGACACATAAAAAGTGCCCAATGGCCTTGCTCAGCAGAGAGATGCAAATGCGAACCACAACGAGACGTCACCTCACACCGGTCAGAATGGCCGTCATCAGTAAATCAGCAAACAAGTGCGGTGAGGATGTGGGGAAAGGCGAACCCTCGTGCACTGTGGGTGGGAAGGGATGCAGACTGGGGCGGCCACTGCGGACAGCAGTGTGGAGCTTCCTCAAAGAATTAAAGACGGACCTGCCTTTTCCCCCAGCGATCCCACTTCTGGGAATACATCCAAAGGGACCCACAACCCTGCTTCAGAAGAACACAAGCGCCCTGTGTTCACTGCAGCGTTATTTACAACTGCTGAGCTGTGGGAGCAGCCCAGGGCCCACCAGTAGGTGAGTGGGTCAAACACCTGCGGGACATTTACATAATGGAATACTACTCGGCTGCAAAAAAGGAAGGAACTTTTACCTACTGCGACAACATGGATGGACCCGGAGAATATTATTGTGCTGAGTGAAATAAGCCAGTCAGAGAAAGACAAACAAGCACCACATGATTTCATTCTTATGTGGAATAAACACATAAGAATGTGTTTATTCCACAGGTGGTGCATGACAGAATCATACCCCCAAACCTATGTGCTTGTATTAACCCTTGTCACCCCAATACAGCCCATAGAGATTAAAAATAGATGGCTGAAGTTGAATTAGCTTCTTCACCTGAAGAGATACCATGACCTCAAGAGCCCCTCCAAGGTTAAGAAGGTTGTGACACAGGTTGACAAGTGGCCCCTGGGGAGGGGCACCCCCATCCAGCCGAGCTCTGGGCCCTGGGCCTGTGAGCAGCGGGCCAGAGGCTCAGGGGCCCCGCCCCGCTTTCCAGGGGAGCTGCATTGGGTTGGAGCAGCCGGCGGGGAACTTCCAGTCGGTCCTCTGTCCCCAGGCACGGCCACCACCAGGCCCTTTCCTGGCCATTATTGGCTCTGAAATCGGGCTGACAGGTCCCCAACACGTCCCCAGTCGGTCAGCGTGTCCTCTGCTGTTGGGTCACCTGCCTTTGGCCCCTTGTTTTCCTGAGTCTGGTCCTTCTTCCGCGCCCTGGCCTGGGGGATGCCCGGCAGCCCTCTCGTCTATCGGTCAAGTTTTCTTCTCCCCTGTTCTTTGCCCATCCTTCGAATTCAACGTTCTTTTCTCCCTCCCACCTCCTTCCCTTCAACCATTGTTCTGCCCTGTGTTTGTGGCACTCTGCCCGCCTCAGTCACACTCGGAACCCATGCGGACCCCGAGCACTCACGGGCCCTCAGCCCATCAGACTCCTCTGGACGCGGGACTGCTGAGCGGCGGACCCAGCCAGGCCACACGACTTCCACCTGGGCCGCTTCCTGGCTCTCCGCTCCTGGCTACCTTGTCCAGGACAGGCTGGTGGCCGTGCGGCCTGGCGTCCCTGCGTCCCCAGATGCCAACAGTCCACGGGACAGTGAAGCAAGGGGCTCACTCCCAGTCCCAGTGTGAGGCAGGTGCTGCAGGGAGCAGAGTGCGGGGGACCCAGACAGACAAGCTGGGGGAGACCCCACCCTGTGGCCGGAGGGATCACCCCATTCCCAGCCCGGGAGCCCGTCTTGAGACCCCGACAGAAGAGCCTGGAGTGGTGCCAAGGCCAAGCGGCATGACGACAGAGGGGACAGAAATAGAGGGTGAGATGGACCCTGACCCGGGAAGGAGCTAGAAACCGAGAATGGAATCCACCCTGTTTGCAAACACTGAACAGAAGAGGGCGCTCTGTGAAGGCGGCAAAGCAGCGGGAACTCGCCACTGCTCAGGGAAACTGCGTGTGTGTACACACACACACACACACACACACACACACACACACACGCACAGTGGGCTGGCCACAAAGCTCATCCGGTTTTCTCCGAACACTGGCTCTAGTAGCGCTTAGTTGTCTTTCAGCTTCCTTTGAAACAATTTTGTTACGTTGCATTGTGACAGCTGTCCTATCAGCGTGGGTTTAAAAAAACACTAAAATTAGTGAATTTTTGTGTAACTATTTTAATTGAAGATAGAAGAAAACATGCAACATTTTTGGCATGTTACGCTTTATCGTTTTAAGAGAGGTAGAAAACCAACTGAAACGCACAAAAGGATTTGCGTGGAGAAGGTGCCAAGAGTGATTAAATGTGCCAAAAGTGGTGTGTGAAGTTTCGTGCTGGAGATTTCTCACCGTTGAAGTTGACAGCGATCAAATCGAGGCAGTAGCTGAGAACAGTCAACGTCCTACCACACGGGAGACAGCCGACACACTCAGAATAGCCAAATCAGTAAAGTTATCAGTGAAAAATGAAAATACGCCTTTTATCATACAGGAAAAAAACCCATAACTTTTGGCCAGCCCAACACGAGCCACGGATCAGAGGCAGGGACCGGTTCCCCAGGAGCGACACCAGGGACGAAGGGGGCAGGAGCAGAGGGACCTCCGCAGTGGAAGGCACCCGCAAGGCTAAAAAACCAACAAACCCCCCAAAGTAACATTTTACCTCCAAATGGCTTAGCGTACTCAAGAAAACGGTGCCGGGCATTCAAGACCATATGAACAAAAGTCGGAAACGCTTAAAAATGAGGGGACAAGGTGCAGCATCAGAAATAAAGATGAAAACGCCACGTGAAAAAGGGTCAGGTTTGCAGACGGGCAAAGAAAGACGCGAGGGAACAGCTGACGTCCCCGAGGAAGCCGACGACGCAGCGCGAACTCTGGGAGGCGCTGTCCGCAGTGCGGGACGTCGGGGCGACCCGCGCTCCCTGGACGCCCCGCATCAAACTCGGTCCGGTGAAATCACTGGCTTTCACAGAGAAAAGGGTCTTCGGGGCATCTAGGCAGAGAAGCACACAGTTAAAAGTGGAAAGAAAGTTATATTTGTGTTGGACTTTTCAACAGCAACGTTTTACGCTTGGAAAAAAGGGACCGCGAATGCAGACGGTGACCGTATCCTAATCGCCAGACGCGCTGCGAGACCCGCGGGGGCTCCTCCAGCCCCGTGACCGGCTGTAGCTCGGGCCTGTCACTGCGGCGCCGGAGGGCTCCGTGGCCCTGCTGGGTCCCCCTCTTGTCTCCCGTCCGCTCAACGAATGCCCTTGAGGAACCACTCTCGGGGTCCCCGAGGCTGGGGGGCAGGAGGCTCCCCGGACGAGGCGCACCTTTGCTCCCGAGTGGTTCCCAGGAGGAGCGTGCAGCGGCCAGGCCCGTTTCTCATTCCGCTGCGGACGGACGTCTCTCGGGTCTTCCTGGAGGGGCACCGAGGC